CTTTTCTTCAGTTTCAGCGGTGGCGGCGGCGGCGGCGGCGGCTCGGCGGTTGTTGCGACGACGCGCGGTAGCAGTAGCTACTCGCTCAACGGCAATCACGATCATAGCATACGTTCCTGGTACATTCTGTTACATTATAGAAAATATCGTCAGAATATTTCGTTTATACAACGTTAAAATACAACGCTAACCTAACCTACTGAGTACAAAATTTATAAATATATCGGACGTCGTTTTTAGCGAATATATCATCCAAATAACTCTCATTAGATCACCTTAAGGTTAGGTTAAAAAATGAATAATTTAATTTGTATAGGTACCAATATTAAACCAATATTCACGGAAATCACCGAGGGAATAAATTTGCCATATTAAATAAATGCAAATAGAATTCAATAGGTAGATTAACTACTAGCATTATGATTATAGTATATAACCAATGTTACTATAAGTACTACCTAGTTAGTAGTTACTGCTAATGTGTTCGTAATTTGATTTGACTAGATGATTAATGAACTTTTATACCTAGCTAACAAATGCATACACTTTTGTAATTGCTTATCATCTCTAGTTATTAGTAGCATATAACAATATTATAAAATAATTGTATTATGCTGTAATAGATGTATTAGGTAATTTATTTAGATTGGAATTAACTGCTTATGAATTACGATGAAAAACTATTTACAGTGAAGAATGAAGACAATATTATATTTAAAAATTCGTAACGATTAAAATTTAAAAAAGCAGGTAAGTATAGGTAACTGTGTGTGACTCTGCTGTACAGTAGGTTGCAGTTGGATGACTGTAATGGATGGTGTTAAATTTGAATTCAATGATATAATATTATTGTATATTTACGAAAAACAATTTCGAGCAGAGACAGTTTGTCGGATTAAAATATTTTATATTATGTTTATATTGTAATTATTAATACGGTATAGCCGGTTTAGTTGAATTATTATTTGTCTATTATCATATTAATTGTGTATAATAATATACTTTAGAAATTCCAAGTACCCACAAATAATATTTAATAAATATAATACAAAACTAAATAATCGTTCTTCTTCTTTTAAATATCTAATTTAAACCTAACCTAACCTAACTACCTAACATAACTACCTAACCTACAAGGCTTGCATTTGAAAAAAATTTCGTTTATCGTTATTTAGAATTAAAAAGTTATCCAAGTCTAGAGTTTATTGTTATTTAGATTAAAAAAGTTATTTTACCCAGCATTTTCCAACAATCCAGTAAGTAATTTACTAGTTAATTTTTTTCAACATAATTACCAGAAAATTATAATTTATTATTTTATTAATATTTGATATTGGTATAAATGGTATTCTATATATAACCTAACCTAACCTAACCTATTATATAAGACAAGCAACCTTCTTTGACGGCTCGGCCCTTGCATTTATAAAAAATGTATTGGCGGACGTCAAAATAGCATAGTTTTAATAATATGATACAATTCTAAAATAGTTAAGCTTTACTGATTGCGTAAGCGGGTTTTATGTTGAAAACATTGTTATGTAGGCTCACAGGACCTTAAACGATTTAGAGATTCTCGTATTTGTGTTTCAAAAATTTGTACATCTCGGTACCTATAATAAAACTTGATTTATTTTCAAAGAAAACAGGTTTTAATACCAAGTTCAAATCAGAATTACATCTCTATTATCCGAACCTTAATTATACGAACGCTATGTTATAAATAAAAACTCTTTTTGGAACAATTCCAGTATCTCAACTTTTGAGTATCCCAGCTAGGCGTGGTCCCAATTAGTTCGGACAATCGAGGTTCTGCTGTATATTTATGTATATATGATGTGTGTGTGTGTACGCCAAACAAGCTCCGGGAGATGCAATGTTTTTCTATCAGGACAAAATCGAAAGAGTCCTATTCGCCGTATTTATGGTGGGGGACGAAGATAAATTATGCCTACAGACTACAACACACTTACACGGCATAGTTGTTCTTCGACGTTCAACCAACTGTGTCGTCGGACGAGTTTCCACTTAACATTCAGTGAATATATCACCACCTCCGAGAGTAGGTAAGTAATTATAATACATTATAATATATCATTGGGAATTATTAAATTAAAATTAACTTGTGCTCATATATATTTATTTACGTCTTTGCAGTTTTCCTCCATAACCCAAACGGAAGTTGTCGTTGGACGACATTCAAATCAGCATTCATTAAATACACCAAAATTACTATCGGTAAGTATAATAGGTACTTAGTTATATATTTTATTTCGTTGTTCGTAATGCGTTCGAACGTGGTTAGCTCGAAGTTGAAGGGACCGACAAAAAGGTTCGAGTTATCCAAGAATCCAAGCAATCCAAAAAAACAAAAAAATTTAATTAGACATTTAGCTATCAAAGATTTGGTTTTCAATCCATTCTCAATTTCCCGTATCATTGCAGCTTTTTCTTCATTTTGTACCTCCAAAGCCGTATATAAGAGGTTTTGTGGGTTCGAAAACATAATTATTTTATAGTTAATAAATGTAATTTATGCATGTAACTTAATTATAATAATTTACCTAATAATATGGTTATTAAATTATGTTTGACTATTGATTATATTGTTAAACATTTTACTATAATCGAGCTAATACAAATTCGGATTGCATTTTCTTTAATATAATATAACATAATGAATATACCTATTATACATAGGTACATAAGCCACACACTATTTAAGACGTTTTATCGATGGACGCGAAACGTTTATAACGTACTTAATATTATATTATCGAACAATACATTATTATCACCCTCATGTTCATTAGGTAATTAATGGAATTCTGAATATTTTATCTTTTCTTTTGAAACCATGAGCTACATTGCCGGTTTCGATTTCTATACTAGAACCCACATTTTCAACACTGATTACATTATTTACGTGACTCATCAGGATAATGTTATTGATCGTTTCTCCAAAGAAAATAGCGACAACTAGATTTTGTGCATTTGTACTACCAAGGCCGTATAATATAAGGGGTATTTGTGGGTTCGAAAACCTAATTATTTTATAGTTAATTACTTTAATTTATGTGAGTAAGTTAACTATAACAATTCACCATGTGTAAATATGGGAACCTAATAATATGTTTGATTATTGATTAAATTGTTAAACATTTTATTATAATCGAGATAATACAAATTACCCTGGCATTTTAGATAATTTTCTATAATATTATTATATTATTCATAGATGAGTCACACACTATTAAAGAAGTTTTGTTGACGGACGTGAAACGTCTATAATGTACTTAATATTATATAATCGAACAATACATTGTTATCGACGTATTGCCATTCAATGTAATATTGAATATTTTATCTTTTCTTTTGAAACCATCATTAGGTACATTGCCGTTTTCGACTTTTACGCTAGAAATTAGAATGTACATTTTCAACAATTAAGAGATAAAAATATTATTTATGTGACTCATCTGTATAATGTTATCGATCGTTTTGCCAAATAAATATAGCGACAATTAGATTTTGTGCTAAAAAATATTCCAAAATAATTATGATGTATTAATAAGTAATAATAGTAAAATAAAAGTTATTTTATAACTTACAATGAAAATATTATTTGATTTAAACTGGCTCGAGCCTTCTTCGAAATCAGCCACCCCTCTTGGTGTCCTTACTCATCAATTTGGTATCAACATTTTTAAATTTTTAAGTAACTAATTTTATGCCTCTCGAAAAAATTCTAATTTCTTATCAAAGCCCGTAAAATCAAAAATATTTAGAGGGACCAAGTTTACGCAAAGTCCAACAAACTTCAAACTGGTATGAATTTGTTAGATATTATTCCGTTAATTTTTGAAATCATTGCACGAATTTTCAAAATAAATTAACAGGTACCTATACTCTATTCCAAATAAGATCATGAGTCGGCGTCGACGAGTTTTCGTCGGGCGGCGGTCAGACATATAGGTGAGACGATGTCCCCACTACGGCGTCGCGTCGGGTTCTGCCACCGAACAAATCTACGCCCATGCGCACAGCTAGGTCGCTGACTCATGATCTTATCCTAAGCGTTTTTTAAATTAAGATATCTTACATATTATTATTCATATACCTAAATCGGTTAAAAATGTAAATTACAATCCTCTTCCAGCCATTCTTCTTAACTGTCGCTACGTAGCGCGCTTATCGTGTGTTCTTATTTCTTATGAGGTTTTTTTTGCGTCCTCCCTTCTCTGATCGGATTGTCTAGCACGGAGTCAATATTATAGAGTTGAGGTATATACAGGGTTTGCATTTGAAAAAAAAATCCGTTTTCTGTTATTTACAATTAAAACGTTACACAATTTATGTGTTTATCATTATTTAGAATTAAAACAAGTTATACGTTTATCGTTATTCTTAATTAAAAAGTTAAACAAGTTTTTCGTTATTTAAAATAGTGTTAATAACTATTACATTTTTTTTAACAATAACTAATGTGGGTAGATAATGGCCCGGATACAGAATATAATAGAATATAATCAATATTCTAAAGTCCGTATGTATGAAATAAATATTTGTACGAAACCAATATAATTTTTAAGTAAATGGATTTTAAATTGTTTCGTTTAACGTTAATTTTCGTTCAATGAAATTGTATAAATTACGTTTTGCGATATTTTTTGTTTAATGATATTCTATAAATTACATTTTGTTTAATGATATATAATATATTTTGTTAATCGTTATGTTTTGTTTTGCGCTATTTAATTATTATCGCTTTCAGTTATAATTACGTTTACAAATTTCAATTGTTTTTAGTCAAATATTTATAACGTTAATATTAATAATTAAAACGTTTGCAAGTCCTGGGTGTATCTCGTAAATATAGACGGATATAATTTTGACGTCGGTTGTCGTTTAATGTTTGGTTGTATATGTTTCCAGTTAAAACGAGTGAGCTATAAACACTCTTTTGGTGCCATCCGTCTTTATTGAAAATCACAACCGCGATGGCTGCAGCGAATGAAGAGATAACTTACGCCCTACCCAGTCTGTTGGAGTTGGCCTACCAGGCGTGTAGCCGTGACCAGCGGAAACGGTACGACGAGCTGCCCGTCGTGACCGTCGACTTACAGGTGTGTTGCGAGTCGTTATTGAAAATAATAAAGTTTAACTCGCACGCCGATCGTTTTCAACCTCGTGGGCATCGGCGGTTCATGTTTGCCAAAGTTCACCCCAAATGCCGTCTGATCAACAACATATGCGAGATGGCAGCCTTCCACGGACACATCAACTGCATGAAGTTCGCCCGCGCCATCGGCGTCCCGTGGTACACGCCGAATGTGTGGCAAAGATCGGCGTGCGACGAGGCCGCGGACAAGGGCCACATGGAATGCCTGGTCTACGCACACGCCAACGGCAGTCCGTGGAGCAGGTGGACGTGCAACTTCGCCGCGGGCAGCGGCCACCTGGACTGTCTCAAGTACTGCCGGGATAATGGCTTCCCGTGGGATGAATTCACTTGTACCAACGCCGCACAAAACGGCCGCATGGAGTGTCTTGTATACGTGAGGCAAAACGGCTGTCCGTGGAACGAGGACACGTGCAGCATGGCCGCATTGAACGGAAAATTAAAGTGCCTGAAGTACTGCCGGGAAAATGGCTGTCCGTGGGACTCTTTTACTTGCGAAATGGCCGCGTCCACGGGGAAACTCGACTGCCTACGATATGCGATCGAGAACGGCTGTGAATGGGACATTGACGGATATTTGTCGGCTTTCCACGGGATGAAAGATCCGTCTTGCTTGAGGTACGCACTCAAATTAAAGCATGGACTGGCGAAGACGAACGCATCTACTAGCTCACCCGATGACGTAATCCCGTCGAAATAGAAATCCTAATATTTTAATGGTAATAGTTTATTAGTTATTATTTATTTGGTACCTGAAAATTTGTTTTAAATTATAATTAGATGTATCTAGATATAAGCAATTTTTCCGACTATCTTTCAATTAATTATTATACCTATTAATTAAATGACTTTAAATGTATAAACAAATATTAACTGTCGAAAAATTATATTTTTAAAGTATAATGATTATTAATTTTGTCTATAAATTAAAACCTACCATTTGTGCTGGTGTTGGCAGCGTTAAAGGTATATCGGGTATTTAACAGGCAATTTTTAAACACGCAGGTGTACCAATAGAAAAATCAACTTTATTTTTTCAAATAGCAACTACTATATTTTTTAATGGACTCCGGTAAAGATTTTTTTTCTGAAAATTTTGATGGTCAAATCATCAATTTTGGTTGGTTAGTTCATTAACTATGGTCCTCTAAAGTTTAGTAAAATATGCATTGATACTTTTAATTGAAATTATTGATATAGGTTTAATTTACAAGACATAAATAACTTTTTCTTATACATTGATGAATTGTATTAAAAAATAAAGATGAAATATTTTTTGCCACAAGGATGGTTAATTATATTGGTCTAAATAAAATTGGATTTTATAAAAGAAATATAAAAAATGACAAATTGCTAATTGAAAAATAGAGAGATACTTTTTAAAAATACGTTGAAAAAAAGTTAACATGTGTTTCAACATAAAAATGTTTACAAAAAATCTTTGAGTCATACTACAGTATTATCTAATTGACATAAAAAATATGAATTCTGCAACTCAACTATTTGAAAACAAAATGTTTGTCTTGGAGATCCATCTTAGTCCGGATTGTAAATCGTATATGAAACGCTATCGAACTAAGAAATTAAGCATTTGCGAGGGCCCGTTCTTTGGACGTTACATGGATCTGCCGTTACCGAATTAATTTAAAACTAAATAATAATACCGGTTAATGCAGTTAGCTGCGTTAGGTTAGATTAAACCTAACGAAACCTAACTAAACTTAACGAAACCTAACAAGATTCAACTTAACAGCTTGTGCCTCAACTCGCGGCCCGTGAGTCTTGACTTTCGCGAATCACGGAGTACCTACCTATATCACATTTTTTTCCTATGAATGTCGATAAAAATTTATTTGCTGTTTAAAAAAGCTTGAAAATTTAATAGAAAGCTCCTGTTATATTATTTTAATGACATTTGAAAAATATTAAAAATCCATAGTCCCATTTTCTTTTTATAATCATTTAACGTTCAAATATTGACAAAATACGTAAAAATGACGCAAATGAGCCAATTATTTTGAGATAAGAATTCGTAAAAATTTTTCTTTGTAAATCTAAGATTTTAAAATGTAAGACAAGACTCCTTATAAGATTAGGTACCTACTATTATAAAAAAAAAAAATGTCTATAAGAAAATTAAATTCAAATTTTTACAACATTGGATATTCACTCGATTTTTCATGTAGCGATTTTCTTATTTTATTGTGATTCAAAAAAAAAAATAACTGTTGATACAGGAAAATTTCACTGAATGTTTATTTTATCAATTTGTTTATACTTTATAAAATTTTCAAGTTTGAGCTGTTTACGGACAATTTTATATTTCGATTTTTTTAAATTTTTTTTTCTTACGAATATCAATGAAGTTTTGTCTGTTGGGACAAAAAGTGTAAAAATTTAATACAAGGCTCCTGATAATATCGTAACAACATATTATATTGTTACAATAGCAGTTGAAAAATATTAAAAATACATACGCACAATTTTTTTTATAAGCATTTAAAGATCGAATTTTGAGAAAATTTATCAAATTTAAAATTGAATAATTATTTTGTAGTTAAAAATGTATATAAAATGTTCAACTTTTATATCTAGGTAATGATTGAAAATTTAAAATAAGATTCCAGTAGTTTATTCTGTTACCAAAAAATCTAAAAATACATAAGCACAGTTTATTTTTGTAGTCATTTTAAGTTAAAATTTGGACGAAATTACATATTAAAAACCTAGAATAACTATTTTAGATATTTTGTTGAGATTGTTTAATATTATTCGTGTATTGTAAAGATAAATTATTGATAAAAAAAACCAATAATTTTTTTGTTTAAAAAATGGTACTTTTGGCTCGCTAAATTCTTGTTTCATCCCACTGTGAGCCGTCGTCTAAAGTATTTTCATTTTTTTCTCGTCATATTATTATAATCTGTCTCCCGGATACGGATAACAATAATTTATCACTGTTGTATGTTTGTAACGGAACCGGTGATTTTTGAGATTGTTGGACGCAGATACGATAATAGTTACATGTATAAGCAGCTGTGAATATAATATACATAATGGAAAACTATGCAAAATATGATCATTATAAAATATAATAATATTATATTTAATGGCAAGGCCGCCTACAGGGGGGGGGAGAGGAGAGGGCTATGCCCCTCCCACTCTTTTAGATAATACCTAATTTGTATAGCTTTTTATTGCATTTATTTGCATTTTATATAAAAATCTTGGAGGGCTATACGGAGGACTGATAGCTGGTAAGGTGCCACAAAATTATCCCATCTCTGACCTCACTCCTCAATTGTTTTTAAAAAAAAAGTTTATTCGCAAGATTCTAGCAGATAATTTTTTATAATTAACTAGCAGAAGTGACGCGGCCCGCGTTAGTAGCAAGTACAATGTACAAGCACTATAGCGACCAGTCTATCTTATCTCCAACCACCACCACGGGATGCAAGCAGCGCGACCGGGTTGACTCTCCCACCGAGCCGGTAACGGCAAGGCGGGACGGGGGGACTGTGTCGCGTAAGACGTACAACGGTCGGCGGAAAAGGCGATTCGAGATCCACCATCGGACCGTCGGACCGATAACATATCGTCCGACGTTAAACTCATCTGCCCGAGCGGCACGTCATGTATTGTTATATTTTGGTCGCAATATTATAATACATAATTTGTGACATTCTTAAAGTGTTTGTGTTGTGTTTATTTCATCACCTCAATCCTAACCAAACACTTCGACCGGACCACGATCAACCTTGAAGCAATCATCGTGTCCGCGTCAAATGGCTCCCCGCAGAGGAATTAGTCCGGTCAGCGAAAAGGTAAGAGTTTTTCACGTTGACACATACCTCGGATTATTTGCTTATATCATTTAGTATTGAGATATTTAACCAGGAGTGTGTTTTTTCCGGTTAGCTAGGATTTCCAATCTACCCAAGTTAGGATTACGTAATAGGTATTAACCATTAGGTATAACTCTGCTACGTAGGGGAAATCCGCGCGATCGAAAATAACCGTGATACGGAATGGGAAGCAGTTACATAACGTATTGCCACCCTTCCCGGCGCTCACCTTTCGTCCGCGACTTTATTGCCGATAACAGCGCAGCGTGCAGACCGCGACGACAAAACCAGTCGTCGTCACCGCCGCCGCCGCCGCCGCCGATTCCGTGACCTAGTTTCGCTATATTTGGAACACATCGGCGGCCGTCAACAGCTGACCATTGTTTACGTCGGCGTAAATTATTTGATAATAGTCGTTCAATACTCGCGTATTCACGCATGTACACCCACACACCACCGATTTTGGAAGACACTGACGCTAGCGATTGGTATAGGCCACCGTCCGGGGACAACATTGCTAGCTTTAGGGCTATGTAAATATCCACGGACGGCCAGCCGGTACACAACAGTCCAAGCTCCAGTCGACCACAAATCAGGCAGGGACCGCGCACGTATAAAACGACAAACTTTTCAAAGCCGCCTCGGAATCAAAAAAAAAAAAAAAAAAAATATCGACGTAATCGTTACACCAATCGACCGAAACGAAAACGTTCGAGTCACGTTGGCTGGCGCTGTAAGCTAGCATGGCGAAGTTCTTCAAGGAACAGCCAACAGCGTACAGCAGCTCACAATTTTGAGATCCCGTGGCCTATCAACCACCCGTCACCCGTACACGTTACCACTCGCACACACGATGGTTACCAGTCGGCTAGGTCGTTCGAGTAGGTACAACGTAGTCAGCGCCCAGCCGGGTTCAGTTACATTGCCACCTTAAATGAACGACCTTTTTCAACGACCACTCTGGTCAAACGGGAAGCGCGTCGCGCTACCCGTCATACGCCGCACGCGCGCAGGTACGATCGGTGTTAATACCGAGTTCTACGCGGAACAAGGGCCGAGCACCCTGTCCGGTTTTTAGCCAACACCGAGTCGTTACTCACGCAAGCGCGTAGACACTAAAACGTCCACACAATCACTTACGGAATTTGTGCTGATTTAAAACCAGCTCGCGCCCCGCACGTTAATACTGGCCTATCCGAATCGGAGTAGGTAGGTGTTATCGTCCGGCGAACGCGCGACACTTTCCGTAGGTACACATATCCGGCTACATTTAACATTTACGTTCAGCGTGCTTCGACGCATAGCAGGCGTTTTGACTTCGTGTCGGATAATATCTCCACCCACGACCCACCTCTCGTCACCCATCATACCATATTTTCGGTAGTACGGACGGAGAAAAATTATGCCATCATCGCGCACGTAGTTCGGTAATTCGTAACGACGAAAAACCAACTACGAATTTTTCCGTCAACACACCACCTATCGGCACCCACTCTTAAATCCCAAACCTACACCACCCCACCACCCACCACACTCACCTCACCGGTGACACGTGTGGTCAACATCAACGGCTTATGGGGCAGCCGCAGGTGTAGGGACAAAGGTAACAGAGCCACGGGTGTTCACCTGCAAAGGTGATGGGGGCGCAAGCACACCAACTTCGCACACCCCCGCATTATAGGTCATTCTGTATACGTAAAGCATCAGGCGAGCACCGAGACAACCGACAGGGACAGTTTGGTCATGGCGGTCAACACCGACCACCAATCAGTCTCTGTCGCGGTTCAGAACCAGTTGCCCCGCTCGACCGATTGCAATACGTCTAATAACGTCACACGAACACGCCCGGACAAAA